ATCATAATTTCTAGATCTGTTTGAGAAAAAGTTTGTACTTAGATCCCACTCCCCGGATTGTCCAGTCAGGATGCTGTTAAATGTTGTGCACTGACAAGTGAACTGTTCTGCTAAAGTTAAACTTCATTTTAAAAATTAGGTCAAAGACTGCCTGAGTAGAGAAAAATGAAAACACAAACATATAGCGTGTCATTTAATTTCCCCCCTCTATGAATAGAAAGTCAGTGACACCCTGTAGTGTCCTGAAGTGTAACTGTCTCAGGTCGGTTACAATTTCCAAAAGTGTTTTTATCCTGCAGCTATTTATCTTCATTCTCTGTAACCTTGATACATGTAGTATTGTAGTGTGTCCCTCCTTGTTTCAGTCACCATATCAGTGTACGACGGCTCAGGAGCACCTTTTTAAGGAAGTAACAGCTAAAAGGTTCAGTCACACCTGGCTCTGTTACCAACAATCAAAGTGGTGATTAATAAGGCATGCGTTTGTGTGTGTCGTCTTGTATGGCAGACAGTGAGGCATTTAAATACGGCATGTAATTTATTGTTTGCTGACATGTGGGACTGTTCTGGACTGACTAGTTCCCTACAAAACTGGAAAGAATTATCAGTGCAAATAACCCGACATCTCCACCCAGGAACATTTATAAAACTAACCCAAAGAGAATCATCTCTAATTGGAAAATGATTTTATGCTCAAAAGTGCATGAAAGAAAGCCACTAATAGCTCCCAACAGGCAACGTGGTTTCTGAATGCATTAGTAAAGTACTTAAAACCCAACGAGATAAGCAAAGCAAACTCAGTGTTGCCCTAATAAAAATAATATACTGCAGTACCTAAAAAACTCTGCATGGGAAAACAGGCTTGACATGAATAATGATGGTGCTGTCGTTGTCATTGGAGCCACTGTCCTTAAGAGGTGTGGAGAAAAGATCAAAACACAGCTGAGCAGGTATGCACATGCTGTTTCACATATTTGCATTTTATTTCTTTGCTCGTTAAACTGTTAGCGTCTGCGTGCATGCAAGTATTATGTAAAAATTAGTTGGTGGAGGAGAGTAAGTATTGTTCTTATGTTTGAAAGTAAGTTTAAGTTAAGCTATGTCTATGCACCCTATTTTTAAAATTTCAACAATGTCAAAAATTCCGGGGTGTTGCGTAAGTGTTTTTTGGTACGCCAATTTTCTCTGAATGGTGAAGTGAAAAACAATAGCGCCCCCCCCTGAGAGGGGAAGCCTACAGAGATAACACTACTGGGTAACGGCGGTTTTATCAAATTGTAAAGAGTTTATAATCAACACAGAAAAAATAACCCTATCAACAGTGGGCTCTTCATACAGGAGACAGAGTGAGAGTTAAGGCATCAGAGAAAAGAAAGTAGAGACTCCGTGGAGAGGGAAAGGGAGCAGCTCTCATCCTGTGTCTGCTTCCTTCCTCTCATCTCTAAAAAAGAGGCCTGCGTCTGCAGTACATGCACACACACTCACACTTCAGGCTGCAAAGTGAGATTTAAAGTTGCTGGTTTAGTGCTAGGCTAAGGCGTTGCTGCAGTCAGATGCACAGCTCAGCACTTTAGACACCAGGTATTGGATCATATCACCTCATATAAATGTGTGGCTGAGTTCGAGCACTGGTCTAATAGAAACAGGTTTGAGCCCCACTGCAGTATCCCTGCCTCAGTCGCTGATTACTGTGTGGGTTAGTGATTGTAGATTTCTGTACAGCCAGTTGTTAGAAAAACATGTTATGTATGGGCATTAAAAACACATCTGAGCACAGAAGTGTTTTCAGTCTCCACCCTAAATGCTGCTGAACTAAAGGCTGGAGCGACCGACTCAAAGTGCTTGTGGCTGAAGTCGAAACACTGTGATGTTGATGCTTCCTCAGCCGTGATTAGCAAACACTTTGTGCTAACTAACTGAACAATCTTCTGTCAAAAGGCACGGATGGTGCTTGATGGTAAATGATGTGAGCTGAGGGGAGTTTGTGTTGTTTTCAGCCGGAGGAAGAGCCAGACAGAGGTCAACCCTGTATGCGCTGCGGAGACCAGTGCCCCGGCTTCCGTGTCCATGGCTGGAGGTATGAACCATAGCACTCTTAAACACAGCCTGTTACCTTTACAGGAAGTGTTTGTCTCAAGCTGTATATTCACCTTTAGTAGAGCCACAGTCTTTCCTGCTGCCTTTTGGATCTTGTGCAGCCATTGTTAAGAATCAGCTATTTGAAAACACTGATATCACTGAGACTGGTAATCTTCAGAATATTTACTCCTTAAATATAAACAAAGATCCTAACATTCTGTGCATTGTGGGTACTTAACATTAAATTCAGTATATATAAGAAAAGGATTAGGAATATTGTTACCAAAAGAAGTCATCTCAACTGTGATCTTGTGCAGATATGACCCAGGACCCAGCCAGGACAGCGTGTGGTACTCACTACTAGGTCTAAAGAAACAGGCTATAGGCTCAATTTCCAGAGTCTCTGCAGCAAAATTAGTTTTTGTAATTCCTGCTTTTGAAATGTAGGCACAAGCCACTTTTAATGTTAGCCCACATACCTCTTACACCGATTTGTTCAGGAACTTTTAACCGCTGTCAAAAGCCCTAGTTTCTTCTGCTAGGTGGGTTTTCGCATGCTTTTATTTGAGTCTCTTTTATTCCTTAATTGTATATCCAGCTGGTCGGGTCTCTTGGTTAGTCTAATCTTGTCAATCACGCTAATAAGATTAGGCCTCACTGCTGTGATAGTAACACTCAACCACTTTATACCTCCCTCTCTCTCCTTCACCGTCTCCCCCTTTTTCTTTTTAGGTGTGGCTCTTTTCATTACATTTTTTACATATAAAACTGAGGAAAGAAAGAGGACGTTTCACTTCTGGATATTGTTATTCCAAAGTGTTTGAGACATTAACGTGTAGAAAATGGCTGCTGAATTTCTATGCATGTCGCTTAGAAGGAAGCTGTGTGATGCACATTACATAGTGTTGTGATTTGTGCTTCCAGATCCTGTAACTGTAGGGGACGATCACCAGGTCTGACACACAGCTAAATGAAAGAATTAAAATATGAGGTTTATTCCTGGTTACAAATGGCTGGATTCACAATCCCAGATGGTCACTGCATGGCTGAAGCCAACTGTGTCTCAGTGCTGGAGAGAATATAACAACAGGCAGAGGAATGTGTGCTTCAGTAACCAAAAGACTGTAATTGTATCTTTGAGCTTATTCAGCTCTGTTCCTTCTATTCAGGTCAAGACAAAGCTTAGAAGTTAGGATGTAATCCAAAACATGTGTGCTGTGCTCTACCTCCGGCCACACTGTGGTGGGAGACAGACTCTGTACGCATTGATCTGTTTACTTTATGTTTAATCTTAATGCAGTGCTGTTTTTCTGTTTCGTCTTTGGTTGGAGGACAGAGCTGAAATGGCTTTTGGGACTGGTGACAAAGAGAAATGTCTTGTTTAGACAGTCTGGTAGCTGCTCCTACAGAATGAGGATGATGAAGGAGATTAAGTGATTGAGATTTATGGGGGTCAGTTTTTAAGACCCCGGTGTTCGGTACTAATTGCATCTTTCTCGTTACGCAATTTAGAGTCACACCTTCCATGATGGGCAAGATCAGCCCAGTGAGCACTAGCTCAGCTGCTGGTGCTCACTGAGAGGGAAGTGATCCATCTTCATCCTGAGCTCTCTCAGACAAAGATTACACTGGGGTGGGGGGCAGATGGTGCTTCCGCTGCCCAGCAGCGAGCGAATTGAGTTACTTTTGACCCACAGGTCCCCGCCATGCTTCAGAAGTATTCAAAGTCGCCATCGCTATTAGTCTGGGTGGCCATGTGGCAAATACTCAGTCGCTAATTAGTGGCAGAGAGTTTTAGGACAAGGTCCATCTGCTTCTTAGAACAAGATCTAAGGAGGGTTCACTATTCTCCACTGAAGTCAGCCTCAGTTATATATCATCACACCAGCAGCTAACATTTAACAGAGATGATGTCAAATGGCTGGATGCCCCACCGGTATTAATAACTGTACACTCATCTGTAATATATCTGTATACCCAAAGACAGGGGTACACTATAGATGGCCTACTGTTTTCATTAGTGGTTGATCTGACGATTATTTTCTTGATTAATTCTTTTGTTAGTAAATTGGGTGAAGGTGAAGGTGACATATTCACACTATGTTTTTTTTTCTTTTTACCATCCAGAGCAGCATATTCAGTTCACTAGCGTTCATACAATTTAGGATAAGACAGGAAATAGTCACATTTAAGAAGCTGGAACTAGATGTTGCTTGATCTCAAAATATTTGCAGATAAATTCTTTTTTGTCAGCTGACAAATCAAGTAACCGACTGATTGTTGTAGCGCTACACTGTAGCTACAGTATCACAACTAAAGCATAAAGACACAAAAAGTCAGAAAAGTAAAAAGATAAAAATAACTGACAGCATGCTGTGTCTTCTCTAGCAGATGGGTCCTACTAATATTCATCCTCAGAGAAGAGCCGCAGTCAGATGAGCTGGTATGAGCTCAGAAAAGCGTCACGACTTTAGAAATACTGGAAGTCACGCTCCATGCTTCATATGTCACCAGAGACACTTTATTGTCATGCATGGCCATCTTGATCCCATAATACGACAAATGCTGCACAGCACAGAATGGTTCAGAGCATCAAACTGTCCTTCCCTGATCTCTCTGATTTCAGTTGTTATGACTCAGTTACCGCTCTGACTCTGATGCCTGATATTTCCAAAGGCCGTGTGAGTAAATTGTTGGGCTTAATTTAAGCGTTCATCACTCTATGTGTATGTCAGCTTATCTTTTTAGGTACATTTAGGACTCACATGAGCATGTGTGTACCTTGACAGCTGTGTCTGTATTTTTTGTGGGGTGCGATTGTGTTCAGTGTGATGATGCCTTTTGTTAAAGCCCACTTTAAGGACGGAGGAGGGTGGGAGCCGGGGGTGGCGGGGACATTGAAAAGAGCAGCGCAGACAGAGAAATTACCACATGGAATGGAGCTGTCAGAGAATATCCTGCCGTCACTGACAGACAGGCAGTAGTAGGCACCTTTCGGATGCGAACCTTTACGGTTTCAGTGGAACACAAGTCCGGATGGGACAGCGTCAACAACCTGGACCAAGTTGTCATGATCACAGCAGGTACTGAAAGAACCATATTTAACTCTTTCTCTCTTTAACTTGATTAGAGGGTCAAGAAACTCAAACTGTCATTAGGCTGGGAAGTGTGGGTAGACTAAAGCTTTTTGTGTGCACTTAGAAGAGCAATCTTCTTGTATGTCATAGCCTTACTTTACATTGTTTTGTACACACATCAGTGTGGACTTCAGGTGCACAGCCTGAAGTCATGTATGGGTAAAGCTGTTACTCACCTTCCTTTGGCAGCTTTTAATGTATCTCAGCAAAAAAAACAAAAAAAAAAACTTTAACTTTAACTACATGGAGATTCCATTTTATTTAAAAGGGTTAGTTTAAAAACACACATTTGAAAGCGCAGGCTACTTTAATCAGTTTGGGTCCCAGGTGAAGGGTTAACAAGCCTTAATCTCTGTGGTCAACAAAACTGAAATGATTAAGCTAATTAATATTAATAGGGGGGTATTTTTTCTCCATATAGTGTCAGTATTTACCTTCTGTACATTTTTATTTGCTACTCGGTCAGAAAGACAAAGCAGTGCTCCCATTGACGGACAGGTACATGTCCCTTATGTCCTCTGTCAGGCTGCTTTATCTAGACTATTTTATTGTTTAGTTACAGTCACTTATCTTTATCAATCATTTATTTATCTTCCACAATAAACACAAACAACAACCATTAACACCGATAACAGTACTAGCTGTACCAGGAGTCTCAGTAACAACGTTTTGGACCAAGACAGTATATTTAGAGACAGACTGTGTCTCTGAATTTAGGTTTTACTTTTACAGGCAGCATTGTTTGGAGACACACAGATGTTGGGCAGAAATATAATATTCCTTACTTAATTACATTTGTCTGCGTGCTTTTATTTGACAGTTGCGTCTCATGGATGCCATGTTGCAGTGAAATTTGGGGAAGTTGATTGATATCTCACACACGGCTGGTCTGATTCTGACCAGGGTTGCAGTAATTATTTCCTCAATTCCTAATTTAGTTTATGAAATGTCCACCCATGAGCCATGTTCTTTCAGTTTCCCAGAGCCACAGGTGATGTTTTTGCATGTTGTCCTTTGTTCAACCAGCAGCTCATGACCCAAAGATATTCAGTTCAGATAAAAGTGCAAACAAGCAGCGCACTCTTACATTTAAAAAACTGAAACCAGCAAATGCTTCAACATTTCTGCTTTTAAAAAATGACTGATTAATCGCTGATCATCGGTCAAATATTTCACTAATCATTTCAACTTGACAGCTGTTCAGTGAATAATACATTTGACCTTTTTAACAAAATTCTCTCTCATTACCAATGCACACCTGGACAATCAAAGTATACCTGATTTGATTTTTTTGACCTCTCAGCACTAAATGTGGTTCATGTCCCCAGGGGGTGCAGCCTAGTTGTGTTACATCAGCGGCTTGTGGTTCAAATAATTGAAGAGGACTGAGCACATGACAGGAGGCCTCGGTAGATTGCAGTGTTGACAGTGCCTCAGAAATGTACTGCTTTTAAGTCAAGTAAAGGCATGATTGAACAACGACTAGCAAAAGATACATAAAATGGATGTTTTATAAACGCCTCCCCTAGATACTTAAAAGGAACAGTACAGCTGTTGATGTGCTCATTTGTGGGTTCACAGTTTTGTCTGTTGTAGCTATATGTCCTGTTAGTTTGGATGTTTACAGTAGAAGTGTACTTAAATATTTTTTTGCACATTCACAGACCAAGCTCCAGTTGAACTCATTGTCTGAAGAGCAATCAGCACAGATACTTGATTTGAGACTCTGCTGCAATTTTCAGATTCATTCAAATTAGCACTTTGCCATCTCTAAATTACTGTAGGTTGCAGGTGAGGTTTGGCCCCTACTGGTGATTATAACACTTTCATCATGTGGGGGCTGCGGCTGGTGGTGGTGGGGAGGAGGAGGAGGAGGAGGAGGTGGAGGAGGGCGCTGTGTGGGTGAAACTGGGTGAGTCATGGTGTGTCTGCCATCTGTCCTATCATGCCAGGCCTCCAGCTGTGTCCCCTTACCATCTTACATAGGCACGGGAGTTGTGGTCCTCCCTCTCGTTTTATTAACACACACACACATGTTGCATATTGTGTGCACACAAATACAGCTATGGACCAGATTTGGACCAACATAGCTTAAACTAAGCAGACTTCCCATGTTTATTATTACATATAATTGGTTAATATTGGTAACCTCGCCCGTATATGGTGCCATTTAAGGACAACTGCATCTAGCAAGCATATTGTCCACAGCCTGAGAAAAGATGTGGGGATGATCCTACAGTAGTGCTTTGTAAAACCCTCAACAATTAACTTGCGTTGGGTAAAAGAGAGGAGCGCACATTCTCACAGACATGCAGACTGTCTAACATTTTATCAGATGATTGATCGGTAAAGGAGCACTGGTGCAGTTTATGAGGAGTTGTGTGTGTTTGTGTGCTAGTTTTGTAGCTGTGTGGGGGTTGGGTGCTGGAATAAAGCAGCTTTGTGCCTTGTGAACTTGAGCTAAAGGTGCCAGCTGGCAGGCTGTTGCGCAATCACAACAGAGATGTACACAGGCGATACACACTGCATATGGCCACAGTGTCACATCCGCTCAAATATGTGACACCCATGCTGTCACCTCAGGGTGCTCCAGTGACTCCTCCAGTCCCACACACAGGCACCCCCACCGCCATACTGAATGTGGCAAGGAGTCCCAGGACGAGGCTGAGGGAGATTATTGCTCCCATCTTCACCTCCCTCTTTGAACTGCTGCTGCTGGATTGACAGCAAGGCTTAGGTCAGTGGCCTCATTTCGTGCTTGTTTGGTAGAACGTTTGTGATGTGCTGGCCCTGTAGTAGATCTGTTGTTGGTGTAATGAGGGCATGAGGGGGGTCTACGTTTGTTCACAACGATCTGGACATTGTGGAGTTTTCTGTATCATTCCTAGTCCTCTTGTGACAGTGGTTGTATTAGTAATTTATGGCAGCAGGGAGTCAAGTTGAGTCAACCTCAAGAATGTGTGTGGGCAGGTTTGTGACATAATGTCTCCAACGCAAAGTGTGTCAGTAATAAAATGGTTACAAATTGAGTGTGTCCATATGAAGTGTGGTATAAACATACTTAAAGAGTCCAAACTGTTTGGGTTTGTTTTAGGAGTTAGCTTAACTACCCTAGTGTAACAAGAGTCTGATTTTCACCCCAGGAGTGAAGTCCAACACTGTTCCTGTCTCCACAGGAAGATCTGTGTGCACTGCAAGTGTGTACGAGAGGAGCATGCAGTGCGTTCGGTGCCAGGGCAGCTGGAAAAGATGATGACGAAGCTGGTATCAGACTTTCAGAGACACTCCATATCCGACGACGACTCGGGCTGCGCCTCCGAGGAGTACGCATGGGTCCCACCTGGGCTCAAGCCTGAACAGGTAGCACCCGGGGTGCAGAGCAGATGCATAGTCAAGACACAAGTTAAAGCTACACAATGCACAATTTAGACATGTTCATCCATACTGTACCCTCAAATGATAACCCATGACAAAAACAAACAATCAGTGATTTTGGTTTATGAGAGCTGTTGATAAACGGCTCTGTAATGGAATGAACTGCTCCCTGTATTCTGTCATTTATGCTTTTGTACAGGTATTCCAGTATTTTAGCTGCTTACCTGAGGACAGGGTGCCTTATGTGAACAGTTCGGGGGAGAGATACCGAATCAAACAGCTGCTCCACCAGCTGCCAGCCCATGACAGTGAGGTACCATCACTGTGACTCTGACATTGGATGTTCTAGTGTTTGGCCACACTCCTGTTGTATGGTAATAGTGTGGTGACATGTCAAGTACAGACAATCCTTGATTCTAGTAGCTTTGTTAAATCTCTACAGAAATATTTATTATTACTGATGCTGAGTTTTTTTTCTAGCTTTGCATAGATGCTGTTTTAGTTGTAATAAATCGATGTCTTGGCATTCTTTATAGCGCAAAACATAGTTTCTCCTTTAATGTCAGAAAATAACATCACACATCTTACAGTTGTTGCTGTCTGTTTTAGATTATGCTAATATTGTGTCACAGTGCTGCCAAGTCCTATCTTTTATGTTGTTTATGTAGTTTTATTTTGAAATGTCAGTAACAGAGTGTTAATTTTCTGTCTTTAAATACCAGAAGAAATGTGTCATTATTTTCTATTCACTTTAACAGCATTTACCTTTATTACTCAGTTTATTTGAAGCTGGTTTTTACAGCTATACATATATATAAGAGTATTTATTAAGAGACAGATCAAATTTGCTTCTAGGTTTCCTCAGTTTTTACAGAAACTGATAACTCATTCTGGCTAAAGCTCCATTTTGTTGGAATAATTCTCTATCATACAGTAAATCTCTAACATCTTTGCTCATAGCTAGCCTTTTTCTTACTTAAAATCCTAGTTTCCCCAGTAGTTTACAAAAAAAAGATGATGCATGGTGATAGGCTTGTCCTGTAAACACTAATTTTGTTCAAAATTCTAGTTATCACATTTTTAGCAGAGCAGCCATAATTAATTCATCTTACTGAACCAAAGAAGTAAATGTAAATTTCTGTGTTTCCTGCAGCCCCAGTACTGTAACTCTCTGGATGAAGAGGAGAGGAAGGAGCTGCGTCTCTTCAGTCAGCAGAGGAAAAGAGAACATTTGGGCAGAGGCGTCGTCAGACTCTTCCCAGTGACTATGACGGGAGCTATCTGCCAGCAGGTGGAGCAGCATTTTTATTTTATGTTTAGAAAATGTAGTTGATGTAGCAGCTCAAAACAACAGGATCCTTATATACCAGTGTTTCCCCTATAATAGTACAGGCATGGCGAGCTGCCGTAACAGTGAGACCCCCACCCTCCCTACACCACAGGCACCTTCTTCTGTTTGTCCACCACTACTATGTCCAGTTGGTTGCCCATTACCAGTTTGTCAGTTTGTATCTGGAAGTCCCACAGGATCTTAGCTAGTGACATCTCAACCACAACCACCATAATTTTATTTACTTATTTTTCTTAAAGATTGTTTTAACTCAGTCGATTGTGAAGTAATTAGTAGCTTTGACTGTTATTTTTGTTTTACGTGATGTTTACATGGAAGTTACCAACCAAAAGTCTTGTGTTGCGTGAGAAATAAAATTACTAAGAATATTAGTGCGTGCACACATAACGATTAGAACAATTTTCTGGGGGAAACACTGTATACCATTGTTGCATGCATGTGAAAGCCCATTAAAATACATCAGAGCCAGACAGAAGAGGACTGGAGCCAGTTCAGGTGCAAGTAGGTGCAGGCATTGCTCAGGGGGCACATCATTCTAGGGTTGAATGATTACAGGGCCGTCCATATAAGCAAACTGCTGTGCGACCTGGAGTGTTCACCGTTTGTTAAAAGATATACCATCTAACTTAACTTCCTTCCTTCTGCACCACACCCCAGCTAACAAAACATATTTTTCCAGTGCGGCAGGCAGATCTGCGGAGGAGACATAGCAGTGTTTGCTAGCCGAGCTGGACACGGCAGCTGTTGGCACCCTCAGTGTTTCCAGTGTGCCTCCTGCAGTGAGCTGCTTGTCGATCTGATCTACTTCTACCAGGACGGACAGATCTACTGTGGCCGGCACCATGCCGAGAGGCTCAAGCCTCGCTGCCAGGCCTGCGATGAGGTGACTGTCTCACCAAGATCCGCCACCTGCCTACAAAACTCTCATCAACACTGTGTCTCTAAAAGCAAAGTGTAGCAGGAGTCGAAAAGAAGAAACAGAGTCCGACGTTTTTAAAACTGTCTTAAAGAAACATGGGGAAAGAACTGAGTAGGAGATGAGTGTTTTTTATTTTCAAAGGTAAAGTGTAGAAAGATTATTTATCAGGCCCTGTGTGGTGCTGGTCAGACATCCTCTGGTCGGTGCATAGTAGGGGATTATTTGTAGATGTTTTTCTCTGCCTCTTCTTGCTTTGAATGGCGTTTCAGGGTGACTTAAGAGATTAGTTGACGTAGCTGACTAATGAATCTGGCACAACTGACCAAGAGTTCTTTAGACCCAGAGGATGGCTAAGCCTGCAGCAGGAGAACACCAGTAGTTAACCAAAATCCTCAGTGTTTTGCCATATTTTTGCAACCATGATTTGTTTCTTTCTGTACCCATGAGACCATCACTGCTGCGCTGACTGACCTCTTTGTTTCTCTCTGTTACTGTTGTCTCTCAATCTTAGATCATTTTAGCTGATGAGTGCACGGAGGCAGAGGGAAGATACTGGCACATGAAACACTTCTGTTGCTTTGAGTGTGAGGCTGCACTCGGCGGTCAGCGCTATATCATGAGAGAGAGTCGACCGTACTGCTGCTCCTGCTATGAGTCCCTGTATGCAGAGTACTGCGATACCTGTGGAGAACACATAGGTACAAAATTAAGCTTAAAGAAAATGATTTACTGGGTTTACAATACAGCTGGCCACCATTAGAAAGCAGAACAAGAAGGCATTCTTCATAGTTTCTGTGGTAACACTATACTGTGAGCCCCCTGTTTCTTAAATGGAGGGCTTATAGTTTCTTATTTAAATACTAGATATGGATAAATATTTCATTTTAATTCATGGTAAATGTAAATAAAGCATTTATTTATTTATTTATTTGTTCTGTAAAAGGGTTGACAATTTAACATTTTGGTCTCATGTTGGATTAAGTGCATTTACAAAAAAAAAGTGACACCAGATATCTTAAGTTGGATGTAGTGAGACTTACATCATGGCCTATGTCTGAACTGAATGTTGTCAGGTTATTTTGACAGCCACGGCAGCACAAAGTTAAATTGAGATATTAAATGCACATCTTATTCACATTATTATCAACACTGTATAACTGTAACTCTCAATTATTGCCCCCCTTGTACAAAAGGAAATCAGTTTAATAACCGGGGAACACTGATAACGAGCCAGTTTTGGGTTGATTCCTGTCAGATGACTTTTCTCAGGCCAAAAGAGGTTTAGAAAAAGCCTGGACCACCTGTGTTTACATTGTTATTCATGACGCAGAACTACTGAACTGAGTTAACAGAAATAGCTTTTAAGATTCTGCAGTTAACACAAATTAAACATGTAATAATTTCTTCTCAGGTATCGACCAGGGCCAGATGACATACGAGGGTCAGCACTGGCACGCTGTGGAGTCCTGTTTCTGTTGCGCCCGCTGTCGACTGCCTCTGCTGGGGCGACCCTTCCTCCCTCGAGCGGGGCTCATCTTCTGTTCCAGGCCCTGCTCACTGGGCGAGGACCCCAATAACTCTGACTCCTGTGACTCAGCATTGCAGAGCAGACCGCCTCAGCATAACAGACGCTGTGGGACAGCACAGAAACGCAAGCAGCCAGAGTGTGGTTCTCCACTGAAGCCACTAGAGGGCACCAGCCCCACTACAACTCCTACAAAAGATTGCACTCAGTCAGCAGTGGAAAAAAGAGGTGAACATGTTACACTGGTGTTACACTCAGATGTTATTTAGGTTGAGAAGTGAAGGGGAAAAATGAACCAGAAATTAAACTTCTTTGTTTTATTTATTCTGACACATTTATTTGTTCTTCTTCGGTCAGGTGACCACTGCACTGCTCCAGTTCAAAATGGAGTTCCTGCACGTAGTGGTTCTCCTCATCCAAGAGGCTCCTACTCACCGCTTCCCCACATTCATCTAGGAAACGGCTTAGGTCCCTCTTGGCCTAGCGATCTTCCACATTACAGTTTATTGCCAGGGAACTGTGGTCTCAAAACTCCAGTCAGTGGTCTTCAGTTTCAGGGAGAGCTAAATGGAAATACTGGACTAACTGTTCTAAATTCAAAAGGGTCCTCCACTGCAAAAGACTGTAGGAACTGGGTGGAAAGGACAAATCAGGTTATGCAAGGTATCACTTCATGCTCAATAGAAAAATATGTGGCCTCAGTATTGTATAACCTCATCTCACTGCGTTGTAACTACAGTGCTTCCTGGTTTTCTTTCCTCAGGGTTTCCTTCTCAGAACCACCTCATTTCACCTGACCCATCTCCCTTCCCTCCCAACAATCCATCCATCCTCCCACCTCCTCTGCCCGTCAAGTCCCGAGACTTGATGCCCCGGGATTCTCCGCCACTGAACCTCCCCCAACCAGAGGACAGGCCCTCTGATTCTCCACCCCCGCTGACTCGCAGTGGCACAGCTAGAGTCAGCTTCAGAGAGCCAATCAGCAGCAGCTACTCTGTTGATGAGGACGACAATGAAGATGAGAACGAGATAGAGTTGCAAGAGGGTGAGGAAAACCAGCAGGATGAAACTGAGGTGGAGGGAGATTTTAGAAGCAAGGTACATCTACAGAAAGGTGTTCCACTGCAGATTGATCTTCTGGGTAAGTGGAGCCTTCAGAGAGATGGTTATTACTTCCCCTGAAATTTGGGAATCAAGTTAATTTTGTTTTTGTCACGATTTCTGTTTCCCACCAGATGGGTCCTCTAACCAACAGCATAGTCAGCGGCAAGGGTGGAGTCGTAGCTGCATTCCCTCAGACCCTACTCTCCACCCAGGAGCAGAGAGGCACCCCCAACTCTCTCGTCCCGACAGACCTCGACTGGACACCCTGGACAGGAGAGGCGACAAAGAGAGGGACAATGGGGGCTCTGCCATCACCTCCTCACTGACCCTCCAGGCGGGCCACTACAAACATGAAGACTCCTGTTCTACATGCTCCTCATCCTCAGACTCCGAGGAGGAGGGTTACTTCCTGGGGCAGCCCATTCCTCTTCCCCCACAGCTCCGAAAGCAGCAACCTGAGGCGGGCAAAGATAAAGGGGAAGAGGAGGAGAGGGAGGTGCAGAGAGACTGGGGACTACGAGGCAGCCTGAGGCGGAGAAGAGCTCCCAGTCTCGGTGCAAGGGACAAAGATAAAAACTGTGCCATCTCCTAACCCCCGCTAGCCAGCAGCATCAGAACACAGCATGTCATTTTCTAAATTATGGTGCACAAAAAACACTAATGGCCCTTCACTACTCTGCAGTTCAAGGTTTATGATGAGGACATAGTGTCCTCATCCAACACATGTGCAGACTTTTCCAAATGTGAACCACGGCCATTGCTCCTACTAAACGAAGGAAAGCAAAATAAACCTCAGAAAAGTCTCTACTGTTGCTTTACGGCGTTGACGTCTCACTGTTCATTACTAGGACGCTCCAGTGTAGAAATGGATGTAAACAGCGATATTGAATGATTATGTTTGGCTCATACTCGAAAGACAAGAAGACTCAGAGCTGTGTTGTAATAAAAGGTCACTGACTTTTATCACTATCATGTTTTACATATACAACACGTTCCTCCACTACGGTTTGTAAAATATTGAGTCTGTCTTATTTTAAGGCTACGGTAACCATTTCTGTGCTCTTATGTGCAGTGTTTATATGGCTGTAATATATTACAGGTAAGAATAATAAATGGCCAAATCTTATGTGATGGAGTATGATGACTTCAGTGTGCTGGTAGTTTTCTACATTCAAAATCAAAGGGATTGTCACAAAGTATCACACAAAGCTTAATAAATGAAAGGTTAAGTTTGCTGTGTGTGTGTTGTATAGTACAGACAAAATACTGCAAAAACCCATGTTGTCAAGTGTCTAATCACATGTGGTTCACAGGTCATTTATTTTTATATACTCTGTGTACTGTAGGTCACTGTTCTTGTTTTAACTTTGGGTAAATAAAAAACGAGATAACATGTTGTTTGATTGTGAGACCTTTTTATGGTGATTAAATTTGTCTACACTGTCCAAATGTTGTGCTTTTTCACACTACACCCGCTCAACACAGACCTTAGAACAGAAACATCTGTCAGCATATAGATACTCTGATGTAGTTTACACCAGTGCATTTATTTGACACCTTTAGCTACTTTACAAATACAGGCTCAACTGAAACACTTGATTTGGTGATTGACAGAAAACTTAACAAGGAACTATTTTGTCAGTTTTCATGTAAAAGTGCCAAACATTTCATGATACAACTTCTTGTATGTGGGAACAAGTATTGTTAGTGTCACACTGGGCATGTCTTTATTTTATTAAAAGTAGTTTCATCTCAACCAACTAAAAAGTAAATGCTACTTGCACATTACTATATGCCTGCAGTAGTAGTAATAATCTAATGCTAAACATAACAATATACTCACAGGGGCCATTTTTCTACATTGAGGACTTTTGGTTTCAATACAAAGGACTTTCCTTGTGACTGGATATTTTTTACAGTGTGTTATACCATGAATACCAGTGGACACAGTGGTAGCAAACAGAAAGTGCTTATCTTCCATCTAGGAGCATTAAATAATGAGGGAGAGGCACATGTGACCAAAGAAGTCAGTTTGCTTCCTTGTAG